CCTGAAAGTGGCACATGGCAGAGTGTGGCGATGGAGACAGCAGCAAATGGGAGGCCGTACAGGGACCCATGACACACTCTGGAACTGGCAGCAGCATGAGGAGGGGCGGTACAGGGGCCCATGACAGATTACGGGCCTGGCAGCAGCATGAGGAGTCGGTACGGGGGCCCATGGCAGATTACGGGCCTGGCAGCAGCAATGGGAGGCCTGTAATCTGCCAGCACCCTATGACAAAATGGAACAAACCAGCAGTGTGAGGAGACCTGAAAGTGGCACATGGCAGAGTGTGGCGATGGAGACAGCAGCAATGGGAGGCTGTACAGGGACCCATGAGACACTCTGGACCTGGCAGCAGCATGAGAAGGCGGTACGGGGGCCCATGGCAGATTACGGGCCTGGCAGCAGCAATGGGAGGCCCGTAATCTGCCAGCACCCTATGACAAAATGGAACCCACCAGCAGTGTGAGGAGACCTGAAAGTGGCACATGGCAGAGTGTGGCGATGGAGACAGCAGCAATGGGAGGCCGTACAGGGACCCATGAGACACTCTGGACCTGGCAGCAGCATGAGGAGGCGGTACGGGGGCCCATGACAGATTACGGGCCTGGCAGCAGCATGAGGAGTCGGTACGGGGGCCCATGGCAGATTACGGGCCTGGCAGCAGCAATGGGAGGCCCGTAATCTGCCAGCACCCTATGACAAAATGGAACCCACCAGCAGTGTGAGGAGACCTGAAAGTGGCACATGGCAGAGTGTGGCGATGGAGACAGCAGCAATGGGAGGCCGTACAGGGACCCATGAGACACTCTGGACCTGGCAGCAGCATGAGGAGGCGGTACAGGGGCCCATGACAGATTACGGGCCTGGCAGCAGCATGAGGAGTCGGTACGGGGGCCCATGGCAGATTACGGGCCTGGCAGCAGCAATGGGAGGCCCGTAATCTGCCAGCACCCTATGACAAAATGGAAGCCACCAGCAGTGTGAGGAGACCTGAAAGTGGCACATGGCAGAGTGTGGCGATGGAGACAGCAGCAATGGGAGGCGCCGTACAGGGACCCATGAGACACTCTGGACCTGGCAGCAGCATGAGGAGGAGGCGGTACAGGGGGGCCCATGACAGATTACGGGCCTGGCAGCAGCATGAGGAGTCGGTACGGGGGCCCCTATGGCAGATTACGGGCCTGGCAGCAGCAGCAATGGGAGGCCCGTAATCTGCCAGCACCCTATGACAAAATGGAACCACCAGCAGTGTGTGAGGAGACCTGAAAGTGGCACATGGCAGAGAGGTGGGGATGGAGACAGCAGCAATGGGAGGCCGTACAGGGACCCATGACACACTCTGGACCTGGCTAGCAGCAGAGGAGGCGGTACAGGGGCCCATGGCAGATTACGGCGAAGCCTGGCTCCAGCACTAAATTGTAGGCCATACAGAGGCCTATGTTAAAAAATAATAACATGTTTGGGGCATGATTCATGGCGGATTTAGTCAGTTGTGTCAGGAACTGGTGGTTTGAAATCCAGACTAATCCACGCCTGATTCATTTTCACAAACGTGAGTGGCTCTCCACACTTTGGGTGGACAGTCGTGTCCTCCGCGGAGTTACAATACCTCCTGCCTGCACTAAACACGCGCTCCGATGCCACGCTACTGGCGGGCATGACAGCCTTTCAAGGGCAAATTCAGCTAGTTGGGGCCAAAGGTCAAGTTTCGTTGCCCAGTAGTCAAGGGGATTGTCTACCTCGGTTGGCAGGGTGCTGTCCAAGTAGGGACCGCCCAAGCCTGTTGTGAGGTCCTGCTCCAGGTCCCACCTGATGCTGCTGCTGCTGCGGCAGGTTAGTAGTTTCCTCACTGCGCTGGTGAAGAGAAGCTACTCATCATCGACTGCAGACTGAGGCAGCCGCTGCTGGTGGAGCTGCCACTGCTCCTACCACCCCCCACCCAATGTGAGGAGACTACTGCTGCCATGGCAGCGGAACGGCAGCGATGGAGGACACAGGGCAGGGTCTGTGACAGGGATGGACGTTGGCCTGCAGCAAGGCAGAGGGAGGCCAACTGACTACATAGGTGGTTTTTATAGTACGTTATTTTGGCCTCCCTCTCAGCAGGTGTGAAAAAGGCCACCATTTTTGATGACGGTAGCGAGGGTCCAACAAGGTGGACAGCCAAAAGTCATCCCTCTGTCTGACAAATTATTCGGCAGCAGCTGTCGCTACGCAAGCAACCCGAGCATGCTATGGGCCATTTGTGCCAAGGAATGCGAGGGACTCCCTGCCTCCATCTCCACAGCATACTGCCACGGTGCGTCTGGGTCCTCTGTCTGTCTCCTCCTCCTCCTCTACCAGATGCTCCTGCTCCTCCACTCCTGTCCGCTGAGTGGAAAAACCACCCATTTCACTCAAAAATAATTCCTGAGCAGCACCAATGTCCTCCTCTACCTCCTCCTCTTCTTCCTGTCCTGCCCCCACAGGGGTCATGTGGCGTTGAGATCTGTGCGCCACGTCTACCGGGACCAGCCATTGTTAACAGCATTTGTTCCAGGACGTGGCAACAGAGGAATGACGTCGTTCATCCCATAGTCCTGCCGACTCACGAATAGGTGGCCTCCTCAAAGGGAGCAAGCGGTAGGTGTCACGCATGAGCTGCCAATGGCTGACATCTAAGTTACACAGGGGAGTACCTTTATCCGCTTGTACATCAGGAAATCGGTGATGGCCTTTGGAGTTCGTAAAGGCGAGGTTAACATATGTAGGGTTGAATTCCACCTTGTTGCAACGTCACAGCATGAGGAGTCGGTACGGGGGGGGCCATGGCAGATTACGGGCCTGGCAGCAGCAATGGGAGGCCCGTAATCTGCCAGCACCCTATGACAAAATGGAACCCACCAGCAGTGTGAGGAGACCTGAAAGTGGCACATGGCAGAGTGTGGCGATGGAGACAGCAGCAATGGGAGGCCGTACAGGGACCCATGAGAGACACTCTGGACCTGGCAGCAGCATGAGGAGGAGGCGTACAGGGGCCCATGACAGATTACGGGCCTGGCAGCCATGGCAGATTACGGGGGCCAGATTACGGCAGCAGCAATGGGAGGCCCGTAATCTGCCAGCACCCTATGACAAAATGGAACCCACCAGCAGTGTGAGGAGACCTGAAAGTGGCACATGGCAGAGTGTGGCGATGGAGACAGCAGCAATGGGAGGCCGTACAGGGACCCATGAGACACTCTGGACCTGGCAGCAGCATGAGGAGGCGGTACAGGGGGCCCATGGCAGATTACGGGCCTGGGCAGCAGCAATGGGAGGCCCGTAATCTGCCAGCACCCTATGACAAAATGGAACCCACCAGCAGTGTGAGGAGACCTGAAAGTGGCACATGGCAGAGTGTGGCGATGGAGACAGCAGCAATGGGAGGCCGTACAGGGACCCATGACAGACTACGGACCTGGCAGCAGCATGAGGAGGCGGTACAGGGGGCCATGGCAGATTACGGGCCTGGCAGCAGCAATGGGAGGCCCGTAATCTGCCAGCACCCTATGACAAAATGGAACCCACCAGCAGTGTGAGGAGACCTGAAAGTGGCACATGGCAGAGTGTGGCGATGGAGGAGCAGCAGCAATGGGAGGCCGTACAGGGGACCCATGAGAGACTCTGGACCTGGCAGCAGCATGAGGAGGCGGTACGGGGGCCCATGGCAGATTACGGGCCTGGCAGCAGCAATGGGAGGCCCGTAATCTGCCAGCACCCTATGAGCAAAATGGAACCACCAGCAGTGTGAGGAGACCTGAAAGTGGCACATGGCAGAGTGTGTGGCGATGGAGACAGCAGCAATGGGAGGCCGTACAGGGACCCATGAGACACTCTGGACCTGGCAGCAGCATGAGGAGGCGGTACGGGGGCCCATGGCAGATTACGGGCCTGGCAGCAGCAATGGGAGGCCCCTTAATCTGCCAGCACCCTATGACAAAATGGAACCCACCAGCAGTGTGAGGAGACCTGAAAGTGGCACATGGCAGAGTGTGGCGATGGAGACAGCAGCAATGGGAGGCCGTACAGGGACCCATGACACACTCTGGACCTGGCAGCAGCATGAGGAGGCGGTACAGGGGCCCATGGCAGATTACGGGCCTGGCAGCAGCAATGGGAGGCCCGTAATCTGCCAGCACCCTATGACAAAATGGAACCCACCAGCAGTGTGAGGAGACCTGAAAGTGGCACATGGCAGAGTGTGGCGATGGAGACAGCAGCAATGGGAGAGGCCGTACAGGGACCCATGACACACTCTGGACCTGGCAGCAGCATGAGGAGGCGGTACAGGGGCCCATGGCAGATTACGGGCCTGGCAGCAGCAATGGGAGGCCCGTAATCTGCCAGCACCCTATGACAAAATGGAACCCACCAGCAGTGTGAGGAGACCTGAAAGTGGCACATGGCAGAGTGTGGCGATGGAGACAGCAGCAATGGGAGGCCGTACAGGGACCCATGACACACTCTGGACCTGGCAGCAGCATGAGGAGGCGGTACAGGGGGCCCATGGCAGATTACGGGCCTGGCAGCAGCAATGGGAGGCCCGTAATCTGCCAGCACCCTATGACAAAATGGAACCCACCAGCAGTGTGAGGAGACCTGAAAGTGGCACATGGCAGAGTGTGGCGATGGAGACAGCAGCAATGGGAGAGCCGTACAGGGACCCATGACACACTCTGGACCTGGCAGCAGCATGAGGAGGCGGTACAGGGGCCCATGGCAGATTACGGCCTGGCAGCAGCAATGGGCCCGTAATCTGCCAGCACCCTATGACAAAATGGAACCCACCAGCAGTGTGAGGAGACCTGAAAGTGGCACATGGCAGAGTGTGGCGATGGAGACAGCAGCAATGGGAGGCCGTACAGGGACCCATGACAGATTACGGGCTGGCAGCAGCATGAGGAGGCGGTACAGGGGCCCATGGCAGATTACGGGCCTGGCAGCAGCAATGGGAGGCCCGTAATCTGCCAGCACCCTATGACAAAATGGAACCCACCAGCAGTGTGAGGAGACCTGAAAGTGGCACATGGCAGAGTGTGGCGATGGAGACAGCAGCAATGGGAGGCCGTACAGGGACCCATGACACACTCTGGACCTGGCAGCAGCATGAGGAGGCGGTACAGGGGCCCATGGCAGATTACGGGCCTGGCAGCAGCAATGGGAGGCCCGTAATCTGCCAGCACCCTATGACAAAATGGAAACCACCAGCAGTGTGAGGAGACCTGAAAGTGGCACATGGCAGAGTGTGGCGATGGAGACAGCAGCAATGGGAGGCCGTACAGGGACCCATGACAGATTTGGGCTGGGCCTGGCAGCAGCATGAGGAGGCGGTACAGGGGCCCATGGCAGATTACGGGCCTGGCAGCAGCAATGGGAGGCCCGTAATCTGCCAGCACCCTATGACAAAATGGAACCACCAGCAGTGTGAGGAGACCTGAAAGTGGCACATGGCAGAGTGTGGCGATGGAGACAGCAGCAATGGGAGGCCGTACAGGGACCCATGACAGACTCTGGGACTGGCAGCAGCATGAGGGAGGCGGTACAGGGGCCCATGGCAGATTACGGGCCTGGCAGCAGCAATGGGAGGCCCGTAATCTGCCAGCACCCTATGACAAAATGGAACCCACCAGCAGTGTGAGGAGACCTGAAAGTGGCACATGGCAGAGTGTGGCGATGGAGACAGCAGCAATGGGAGGCCGTAAGGGACCCATGACACACTCTGGACCTGGCAGCAGCAGCATGAGGAGGCGGTACAGGGGCCCATGGCAGATTACGGGCCTGGCAGCAGCAGCAATGGGAGGCCCGTAATCTGCCAGCACCCTATGACAAAATGGAACCCACCAGCAGTGTGTGAGGAGACCTGAAAGTGGCACATGGCAGAGTGTGGCGATGGAGACAGCAGCAATGGGAGGCCGTACAGGGACCCATGACAGACTTGGGCCTGGCAGCAGCATGAGGAGGCGGTTACAGGGGCCCATGACAGATTACGGGCCTGGCAGCAGCAATGGGAGGCCCGTAATCTGCCAGCACCCTATGACAAAATGGAACCCACCAGCAGTGTGAGAGAGACCTGAAAGTGGCACATGGCAGAGTGTGGCGAGTAGCATGGAGACATGGGCCCCCTGGCCACGCTTGACTTTCTGGCCACATAGTCGACATACGGCTACGTTTACTTCCTCGGGCGGCTTGACATTGCCACACCGCCGAGTAGGAAACTTGGTGCCCCACTAGGAGACTCACTGGCTGGCACACTGCTACTTCCTCCGTGCACACCGGCACAGGGACCACTACTGGCCGTGGTGGCTAGGCAGCAGTGGAGCTGGTGCTCTACTCCGTGGCCGTTTGCCTGAACTGACACTGCTGCAGATGTACCCTGCTGCCTCCTGGGCAACCCACCGACTGTTTTGCTCGCTGCCAAGCTGGCACCCTCTTCTCCTGATGATGCGGAAGCAATAGCCTGATGACGACGAGGCTGCCAAGTGCGATCAGCCTCCTCATCATCAATTAGGGTCTCCGCCTCACTACTAGCCCCCTCGGCTGCGTGTGGGGTGGAGACAGACCTGTCTCTAGGAGGCTACCGAGCCACTCTCCTCGCCAGTACTTCTTCGCCTGGCTGCTGAAGAGGCGGATGTCTCCCCCCGTTCCTGACCGCCCTCTGTTAGCTCTTCCTCACTGTACAGTGGGGTGAGCCCACAGCATGCGATACTTCGCTTGGTGAGGAACACAAAGGACAGGGGCAGGTAGAGGACACGTGATTTCAGTGGGCTTGCTCCCGGGCCATGCCAACTAACGGTTGTGTCTGACGTACCCACCGACCGTTGGCTGTAGGTGTCAGAGGTGACCTGGGAAGAGGAAGAGGAAGACGACCGAGCCAACCAATCGATGACGGCAGGGTTGTCGGTGGAGACACGACCGCTGGATGACACCGGGAGACACTGGCTCTGGCTGCGACTAGTGCTGCCTCGACCCCTTCCTCTGCTGCCACGTTCTGCTGCTCGCTCCTGAAACATTGCTGTGTCCTCTGCCACTCCTCTGCTGTGTTGTCTGACATACTCTTTAATTCAACGATTCTGTGTCCTGTCCTGTGTCCCTGAGTAACAATTCTGTGTGTCCTGAGTAACAATTCTGTCTGTCCCTGAGTAACAATTCTGTGTCCCTGTAGTAACAATTCTGTGTCCCTGAGTAACAATTCTGTGTCCCTGAGTAACAATTCTGTGTCCCTGAGTAACAATTCTGTGTCCCTGAGTAACAATTCTGTGTCCCTGTAACAATTCTGTGTCCCTGAGTAACAATTCTGTGTCCCTCAGTAACAATTCTGTGTCCCTCGTGAGTACAATTCTGTGTCCCTGAGTAACCTGTGTGTGTCCCTGAGTAACAATTCTGTGTCCTCTGAGTAACAATTCTGTGTCCCTCAGTAACAATTCTGTGTCCCTCCCTGAGTAAACAATTCTGTGTCCCTGTCAGTAACAATTCTGTGTCCCTGTAACAACAATTCTGTGTCTGTGGTAAAAGGTCTCAGTAACAATTCTGTGTCCCTGAGTAACAATTCTGTGTCTGTCCCTGTTGTCCTGCAGTAACAATTCTGTGTCCCTCAGTAACAATTCTGTGTCCCTCAGTAACAATTCTGTGTCTGTCCCTGAGTAACAATTCTGTGTGTCCCTGAGTAACAATTCTGTGTCCTGAGTAACAATTCTGTGTCCCTGAGTAATTCAAGTTCTGTGTCCCTGAGTAACAATTCTGTGTCCCTGAGTAACAATTCTGTGTCCCTCAGTAACAATTCTGTGTCCCTGTCCCTGAGTAACAATTCTGTGTCCCTCAGTAACAATTCTGTGTCCCTCAGTAACAATTCTGTGTCCCTCAGTAACAATTCTGTGTCTGTCCCTGAGTAACAATTCTGTGTCTGTGTCCTGAGTAACAATTCTGTGTCCCTGTCCCTCAGTAACAAATTCTGTGTCCCTGAGTAACAATTCTGTGTCCCTGAGTAACAATTCTGTGTCCCTGAGTAACAATTCTGTGTCCCCTGAGTAACAATTCTGTGTCTGTCCCTCAGTAACAATTCTGTGTCCCTCAGTAACAATTCTGTGTCTGTCCTGAGTAACAATTCTGTGTCTGTCCCTGAGTAACAATTCTGTGTCCCTGAGTAACAATTCTGTGTCCCCTGAGTAACAATTCTGTGTCCCTCTGAGTAACAATTCTGTGTCCTGAGTAACAATTCTGTGTCCCTCAGTAACAATTCTGTGTCTGTCCTGAGAGTAACAATTCTGTGTCCCTGAGTAACAATTTCTGTGTCCCTGAGTAACAATTCTGTGTCCAATTCTGAGTAACAGTTCTGTGTCTGTCCCTGTAAATTCTGTGTCCCTGAGTAACAATTCTGTGTCCCTCAGTGAGTAACAATTCTGTGTCCTGAGTAACAATTCTGTGTCCCTCAGTAACAATTCTGTGTCCCTCAGTAACAATTCTGTGTCTGTCTGAGTAACAATTCTGTGTCCCTGAGTAACAATTCTGTGTCCCTGTCCAGTAACAATTCTTGTCTGTGTCAATTCTGTGTGTCCCTGTAGTAACAATTCTGTGTCCCTCAGTAACAATTCTGTGTCCCTGAGTAACAATTCTGTGTGTCCCTGAGTAACAATTCTGTGTCCTGTCCTGTGAGTAACAATTCTGTGTCCCTGAGTAACAATTCTGTGTCTGTCCCTGAGTAACAATTCTGTGTCCCTGAGTCCCTGAGTAACAATTCTGTGTCCCTCAGTAACAATTCTGTGTCCCTCAGTAACAATTCTGTGTCTGTAACAGAGTATTTCTGTGTCCCTGAGTAACAATTCTGTGTCCCTGAGTAACAATTCTGTGTCCTGAGTAACAATTCTGTGTCCCTGAGTAACAATTCTGTGTCCCTGAGTAACAATTCTGTGTCCTCTCAGTAACAATTCTGTGTCCCTCAGTAACAATTCTGTGTCTGTCCTGAGTAACAATTCTGTGTCCCTCAGTAACAATTCTGTGTCCCTGAGTAACAATTCTGTGTCCCTCAGAGTAACAATTCTGTGTCCCCTGAGTAACAATTCTGTGTCCCTCAGTAACAATTCTGTGTGTCCTGAGTAACAATTCTGTGTCCCTGAGTAACAATTCTGTGTCCTCAGTAACAATTCTGTGTCTGTCCTGAGTAACAATTCTGTGTCCCTGAGTAACAATTTCTGTGTCCCTGAGTAACAATTGTGTGTGTCCCTGAGTAACAATTCTGTGTCCCCAGAGTAACAATTCTGTGTCCCTTAGTAACAATTCTGTGTCCCTCAGTAACAATTCTGTGTCCCTGTAACCTGTGTCCCTGTAGTAACAATTCTGTGTCCCTGAGTAACAATTCTGTGTCCCTGAGTAACAATTCTGTGTCCCTCCTGAGTAACAATTCTGTGTCCCTGTAACAATTCTGTGTCCTGAGTAACAATTCTGTGTCCTCTGAGTAACAATTCTGTGTCCCTCAGTAACAATTCTGTGTCCCTCTGAGTAACAATTCTGTGTCCCCTGAGTAACAATTCTGTGTCCCTCCGTAACAATTCTGTGTGTCCCTGTGTAAACAATTCTGTGTCCTCTGTAACAATTGTGCCGCTGCAGTAACAATTCTTCCTCTCTGTCCTCTCAGTAACAATTCTGTGTCTGTCTGCTCTCTTAACAATCTCTTTTTGGCCTCTCTTCCTTCTTTGGTAACTTTCTGTCTCCTGTCCCTGCTCCATGAGTCCATCATTTGTCTCCTGTTCTCCCTTCTCTCCCCCCCGTAATGTCTCCTCCTCTCTCCCCCTTCCCCCTACAATTCTTTTCCCTCAGCTTCTCTCAATTCTGTGCTCCCTCTCTCGTCCTGATATCTCCTGCCTGTCCTAACTCTGCACCTCTAACTTCCATTCTACTGCCTGTCCATCCTTCCGTCCTTTTTCTGGGGCCCTTTTTAGCTACCACCTGTCTTCTCCCTCTTCGATCTTCTACTTTTTCCCTCACTCCTCCTAAACAACTTTGTGTCTGCTTCCAAATTTCTTTCCTTTCGTCCCCCTCCCTTCCTTCCTTCCTCTTTCCTTCCCTTCTTTACTTCCCCTCCTCCTTCCTCTGTTCTTCCTTCCTTGAGTTTTTACTCTTCTTCCCTCCCTTCCCCTTCTTTTTCCTCCCTGGTAATTTTTCTGTTCCTCTTCTTCCCCCCCTTCTTTCCCGCCCTTCCTTTCTTTCCCCTGATTCCTTCCCTGACCTCTCCCTCCTCTCATTTCTCTTCTTCCTAACACATTCTTTGTCCCTCCCCTTCCTCCCAATTTTCTGTCCCCCTTTCATGTCCACTTCTCCCCTGTCCCCCCCCCTTCCCGTCATTCTATCCCTTCGTCAATTCTCCTTCCCTCCTCCCGCCCTCCCCCTTCCTCCTTCTCCTTCCCTAAACCCTTCTTCCTCCCTTCCTTCCCTTTTCTAGTCCCCCCCTTCCTTCTGCTTTCTGTCCTTCCTCTGTTTTGCCTTTTCCCTCTTCCCCTCAGTAACTTCTATCCCATGTTCCTTTTCGCTTCCTCTTCTTCCTTTCCCCCCTCCCTGCTCCCCCCCCCCTGTGTCCCTTCAAACATTCTCCTGTCCTCTTTCTGTACCTCTGCTTCCCACTTCCTGTTTTCCCTTTCCGTAAACTCTTCTGTCTCCTTCCCCTGAGTAACCCCTTTCTGTGTCCCTTCCTAACTAACAATTCTGTGTCCCTCCTTAGTTCCATTCTTCACTTTCTTCTCATTCTGTTCTTCTCCCCTTTCTGTCTTCTGTGTCCCTAGTAACAACTTTTCTCTTCCCTTTCTTTATCTTAGAGACTTTGGGTGATTCTGTGTCCTTCCCCTGAGTAACAATTCTGTGTCTCCTGGGACAGTAACCAATTCTAACTCGTGTCCCTCCCCAGTATACATTCACCTGTTCCTCTAGTTCCCTTCTCGAGTAACAATTCTGTGTCCCTGAGTAACAATT